ACTAGAGAAAAGGCTAATTATTAGGGGTCCAAATATGAAAGTCGTTTCTGTCCTTGAGGACTTTACAGTGTAATGAAGGGAATCATACATAAATGGATGATTATAAGTACTGTCATATAGGTACAAGTATGATAAGTACAAGAATTGAAGGGAACAGTGAGTCTGTACTGGGGCCAACAGAGAAGGCTGAAAGAATGTACCTAACCTGAGCATTGGAGGAGAAACAGTTGATAGCATGGTAGGGAATGGAAGGGCATTCCAGGCAGGTAGGGTAACATGAGGAAAGAGAGCGTGTAGTTGAATGTGCAGGGAGTTTGTGCAAAATGGCTAAATCACTGGATTGGATTGTAGAGTAGGGAGCTGATGGCAATAGATGGAACTGGAGAGGTAGGCAGAATCAGGTCATGGAGGGCCTCATACACAAAATAATAGGTGGCTGGACTTCCTCATATTGGTAATGGAGAGCCATGTTCAAGACACACACCTAGTGGGGAAAAGTATTTGGGTTAGATTTTGAAGAAGGATATGGGATGGGGTTCAGGGTGAGCAAATGGAGACTAGGCCAGTAAGTCGAGAGCACTTTGCTTAGAATGATGAGAGGGCAGTCTAATGTAGTACGAGGAAGGAAGGGAGGAAGAGAACCCGTTTAGAGCAGGGTTTCTGCACATTTTGGGTGACATACTTCTTTGTTGTGAAGGGCTGTCCTGTGCACTGCACGGTGTTTAGTAGCATCCTCAGCCTCCATCCACTCGATGCCGAGAGCAGGCCCTCCTCCAGCTGTAATCACCAAAAACGTCTCCTGCACAGCAGAATTGCCCCCATTTGAGCTCTACTGTTTTAGATACACTAGTATTAAAACAGAATCAATTGGATTTGGATGTATGGAGAAGGTGGAAACTAATATACCTTTAGGGTTTGTACAATGTAGGTGAGAAATAGATGTTGGAAGAAATAGGTTTGATTTTTGAACAGATTAAATTTGAGATACTTGTGGGATATCATAAAAAAGAAATCCAAGAGATAGTTGGATGAATGGGTCTGTGCTCAGAGTATTCTCAGCTGGAGATACAGATTTCGGGATTATTTGCATATAGATGGAAAAAAAATACCATGGGGGTAAATGAGCTCATTCAGGGAGACTCTTGAAGTAAGACAAAGACCAGGCAGGAACTCTGTGGACAACCAAGAGTTAAGGGTGGTAGAGCACTCTTTAAATCACAGTTTAATTCTTGCCAATAAATGGGAAAAGAGAAGTATGTATCACTATGTCATTTTTAATCAGTAATGAAGACCTTGGTATCCTATGACCCAAGTAGAAGGTAAAATCTCTAAAAAATGCTGTGTGGGGGGAATTGGGAAAATGTGCACAAGATGGTCAGTCTTAAATGCAGTATTTGTTGAATTTATTTTCTCTCGGTGCTTACAGCACAAAACTAAACAAAACCTTAAAGTGCCTCATAGTTATGTTGTGGCAAATGAATACCCAGAAATGCAAGGTTACATTGCAAACCTCATCATACATTTATTAGCAGTGTTGTTTCACTCCCTTGCCATCAATGTTCAGAAACAGCACTGCAATTGAAAGCTCAAGGGAAATGCAGGAGCTTTATATAAAGACCTATTCTTTAGCCTTTGATAAGGTTCTACAGTGGTAATCCTGGAAAAAGTAAAATGTCATGAAGCAATGGACAAAAAGAGCTTACCGGATAGAACACAAATCCAATAACAAGAAATAGTATCATTTGTGGCAGGCAGGTCAGTGAAGTAGGATGATAATTTCCTCCTGGTGACGTCATTTCCACAGAGTCAGGAAGCTAATTGCCTGCAATGCCAATTATGGTGAGAAGCCTTAGACTAGGGCAGTCGCTACCTGTGAAAAAGGAGCTCAGTACTGAAAAGACCAGATGCTGTGGGTAAATAAGTGATTATACCTGAATATAAGTTAGATACCCTTGTGAGAAACGTTAACTCTTCAGGCCAACAATGCGCCACCAGAGGTCCACTCCTAAATAACACTGTGTGTCTTCCTAAGGGCCTTAAAACCAAACCAGCACACTTATCCAAAATGCAGCTTCCACAAAGCACGGCTCTGTGTGCTGAAAGGAAGACAAACCGAATAAAGCTCTTAAGATACTTTCCCCATCTCACTCATTCGTCAGAAGGAATATCTGCCAGTATTCTCTGCAGTACAGGACCTGTGCTTGCCCAATTTCTATGGGGAGCTCTGGACTGCCTTCCTGATTCCAGCTTCTGTCAACCTTTTCTCTCCCTCCCTTTGCCAACATTAGAAAAGAAGTTAACAAATGGATCTAATTACCACAGTGGTTTGAGGCTTCTCAACATTTTTTTTTCCTTCCAGCTGTAAAGATGTCCTCAGACTGAGCTTTACATTCAGAATTGCTGTCAAACTCTCACTTTAATGGGCACTTAAATTTAATGTCAAGCTGATGCCTGTGGAAGACCTTGATTAAATTTGCAAAGAGTAGACTCTAACTGAAACAGAACTTTAGAGTTGTCTCATTTCGCCTTTCAAGCTTAAATCCCAGAAGTTTTCTTTCCTTCTTTGTAAAGAATTACAGAAGTTTGCTTGCAAAGACCCTGAGTATCAATAAGACAGCAAAGTGTAACAAGCAAAACACCCTGCATGCTTTTAGAGAGAGAAGAAATCCCTTAGCTTATTAAAATTCTACGTGAATTAAAGATCTTTCCATAGCTTTATTCCATTCTCAGCTGCTTCAAAATCTATAACTATTCACTTTTATGACTCTATAATATTATAAGCAGTCCTAACAAGTTTACTTAAAACCTTCCTAGTGTTCTTTTATGCACACGGCAATTAAGTTTTGTACTGTATGGGCAGAATGAAAAACATTATGGAGAAACATGAAAGAAATATGACAGAATCTCTCCTAACGATGTCATTGCATCAACCAGCTACAAATTCCCAACCTAGTTTCTTTCTTCTGCTGTTTCTTCTTTTGTCTTTGATAATCATACAGCCTCTCTTTCTTGAAGAGATAATAAAAGACTAAAAGTTAAAAGATCTGGAAGACTCATATTCTTTTTCACTGGCTACTGTTTTGAAAAGAGGCTGTTGGCTTTTGATTTTTCTTTTGGGTTCTTTTCTACATCACCCAATTCAAACAGGTCTGCTTTCTAAGAAAACAAATCAAAATTGTCAAGACCTGTGAAGCATGAAAAATAAATTGCTTTTTCCAGCTCCAAAAGCACCAGAAAAGCATTAATTTAGATCTTCTTTTATAAACCTCTATCCCCTATCCTCTAATCTATAGACTTCACAGAATGTTTGTATATTCTTCTGTATAATACGTGACAGGAGATCAAACCTTATTATGAATAAATTGAAACTGTAAAACAACTAATATTTAAACTAGTGTTATTTTGGAGTTGGACCAGACACACATAAAACATTCAAGTAGGATGACACAAATTCCTGGGGCTGCCAGTATAAAATAAATAGTCCCCTAAGCTACATCTACCATGCCGTTAATGACCCTGTCCTTTCAGCTGGTGGGAGCACAGGCTTCATAAAAGGAGAACATGAAGCAGTAGAAAAAGACAGCCTTGCTAAACGTTACCAGATACAAAACATTCTATCATAAAATCTCATTGAACTACAGTGGCGAGACTGCATCTAATATCTCCCTTTTAATACAATGAAGACCTACATTTCTATGCTTGGCTTTCTAAAGCTAACTTAATTCTGTGGTTAAAACAACTCCAGGTAGCATTTGTTCTTTTTTTTAAGGACTTGTGGTTTTGCAGTCCATGGATCAAGTGGTAGGCCATCATCAGATTCCTGTTGAGAACTACAAATGATGAAGAGAGTAGCAGATGGTTTCAGAAGGCGGAGATTTATAGGTGTAATTTGTAGTGGAATAATACTATTTTCTGAACTAGGTAATAATAATTCACCAAGACAAGTGAAAGTTTAGATAGTATCTCATTTAACTATATGTTGCTAAATATTCCGAGAAATTTTTGACTCAGAAGCCTAAAATAAAAACTCAATTAGTTGACATTTTTAGTTTCTGATGATCTGATGCTATTTAATCCTTTTCATCTTGATGGTTTATCACATGATTGAAAACATGGTGCTTCTAACAGTCTAGTTTTCTGATACAGTGTCCTCTTTTCAATTTAGTTAGTAACTGATTCAAAAGGATAAAGTAAGAAGTATCCCTCTTTATAGGAAAAGAAGACAGAAATAGACTAATATTTTTCACACACTCCAAGGTAACAGATGAGGAAGAACTATGCTTCAAACTAGATTTCCTGAGCACCCCAAATCCTCTTGGTGAGCGAGGAGAGTCCCGGGAGGAAATCCTTAGTTAGACAAGGGCATCCACGACTGCCCTACAAGGCATACGTGCCAGGGACCATCAACCTCAACTTACCTCCTTGGCAGAGAGAACAGGGCACTGATCCCATATGTCTGTAATCATCCACATTTGTTAAATTATATTGCTGGCACTGAAAGGAGGCGGTTACTATAAGTATCAGAATATTCATTATTGAAGTTAATTAATTTACTGAATCTATTTGGTAGTTGACAACAACTACAGGAGTAATAAGGTATGGAAGTTGGATGGTAAAATAAACACTTTAGATGTACAACCTTCTTGCTTGGTAATTGTCCATTCTTCAGGAACCTGCCCCCAGAGTAATGGCAGCAGACAAGGTGTGCCATTATTTTACATAATAAAATATTCCTATCATTCCTTAATAAATATAAGCTATACAAACTCTTATTTCTTTTAATTCCCAAGACACAGTTCACTCAGGAGAGTTTGCTGCCTCTCAAAGGTGCCTGATGTACAATAACCACAAGTAGGCCAAAAAAAGAAAGAAAAACATTTAAAATCTTCATTGGTGATTAGCAGTGTGTTGGATATTCCAAATTACTACTTTAAAAGCTGAGGTAATGTCCAATCTGTTATGACATAATACGCTCTCCCAATTATACACAAACACTGCCATGTACACTTTGATATTAATAAAAATGGTCCAGAAAAGGATTGAGTCAAAATTACAAAGTGATAAGACTTAAAATCAAATTTGTTCTTAACTTTATTACAGTTTCTGGGGGACTTTAACCAGTCCCCAAAGCTATTTTTATCTCCTAGAACAGGACTTAAATGGCACCATTCAAGTGATTGATAGATTTTAATAGAAACTCTTTCTCTTTTCTTCTGTCAAAGCAAAATACAGTGAAGGTCTGTTTTTACCTCAAACCTGCTTTCCTAATAAATGTATGCATACATGTAGATGGACTGGAATGCAGTAAAGAGAGAAGTTAAACAAAAAGGTTAAAAAAAGAAAAAGGCCAGGCACAGTGGCTCACACCTGTATTACCAGCACTTTGGGAGGCTGAGGTGTGAGGATCGCTTGAGCCCCGGAGTTTGAGATCTACCTGGGCAACAGAGGGAGCCCTCCATCTCTACAAAAAAAAATTTTTTTTTAATTAGCTGGGTATGGGGTACACATCTGTGGTCCCAACTGCTCAGGAGGCTGAGGCAGGAGGACCACTTGAGCTGGGAAGGTTAAGGCTGCAATCAGCTGTGACTGTGCCACTGCACTCCAGCCTGGGTGACAGAGTGAAATCTTTTTTCAGTTACAAAGAAGGTGAAATCTTACAAACAGGAAATGAAAGCTATTGAGGAAAAAGGGTTACTAAATTGCCTAAAAATCATTCATTAAAGTAATCTTCTAGTCCTTCTATATCCATTTCCATAGAGGAATTTAAAGAGGCCAGAGCAGATGACGCATCCTTGGTTTTCTGGATACTTGGTTTGGGTTGAGAAGTTTCTGGTTGGATGGGTTCCTTCTTTATGTCTTTACCACCATTTAGAATACGTTGGCTCTCACAAAAGAACTGATTAGGATGATTCAAAGAAAAGCCACAATCATCCACCTGTACGAGGAAGGAAATTTATATTGCATTAATATATAGCAAAACTATGAATACATGAGTTTCAAAAACTGTTCTAGTCCTTGTTCAAAACTTAATACCTGAAACGTGGATTCTGGTTGTTCACATTCTAACACTTAATTCACTACTTACACCGTTTCATTCAAAGATAGTGTTAACCACTACCCAAACATTAAAGGTTCCTGCGTTTATATTTCTAGCCTGAGCCTGTGTTTGGCTCCAGTTCCCTATCTAGTTTCAGTCCCATATCCAACACCTACTCAACATCTAAGATGGCTCAAAGGCAGCTCAATCCCAATAGGAAACATGTCCTTGCCCCTCTGCCCATCCTTTGCTTTCAGGGACTGGAATCACCATTCACCCTTGGGGAATACTAGACACCTTTCTCTCACCCCCGCCCCCGCCAGCCCCCACCCCCATCTACACCATGCCCTCTGTTCTGGCAATACCCAAACCATTACCAATTTTGGTTGACAATTACCTCCAAATAAAAAAAGTAGAAAACCATAAACATATGTTTGAAATACAAACCTGTGTGTGTGTGTGTGTGTGTGTGTGTGTGTGTGTGTGTGTGTGTCACATTGCGTGTTAGGCACAGATTAGGGACCTGTGTGATTCATTGTTGTATCCCCAGTTCCAAGCAAAAGGCCTACCACATTAGAGGCCAATAAATATGTGTGGGGTTTAAGTGATCGTAAAATCACTTTTGATCATTTTGATACTGGTCCCTGATACCACTTGTGTTTTAGAACTTACTTGTAAGTCTGGCATATACAATCTCATTTAGTATGATATAAACTGAAAAAGCAATCTAAGTCAGTGTAATTCTTCATTCTAATCTTGGCCTTTCCTTAGTCTCTTTATATTAAATCTCTTCTTGTAATTTTCACTGTGACTGAACACAAACATGCCTAGTTCATAATTTGTTATTTTTTACAAAGACTATCATTAAACTTTAATTTTGAGTATCATTTCAAATTATCACTATAGCATCTCTCCTTACATGCAGTTTTGCCTTCTACAGTCTCAAATCCCTGCATTTCCGCCTTCTGCAGCTGGAGTTGACAACAAAAAGATCATTTTGCTTAAGTGAGTGACTGGTTGGATGAGTTTCTGTGACGGTATTTTCATTTATCAAGTTTTTGGAGACTGAGAAGTCATTCCATTTATTTTGTTCATCTGTCTTGTATTAACTAATCTTTTTACATTTCACCCTTTGTACTGTAATGACTTGCACACTGTAGGTATCTAGTAAATATCTGGTGAGGTGAACCCAGAAATAGTGTATACCAGTGATAATTCTGCATATTTAATTAAAGACTTACTATATTAAAGACTGTGTTATAAGCTATTTGCTTTTCAGCATACAGGAATGCATTTGACTAACTCAAATTTCCAGCTCAGTAAGTCATATACTTAAAAATCTCTACCAAGAATGGAGAAGTGATAACGGTCACAGATAAAGGCCTATTACACTCCATGATAGAGAGAAATTTCAGCTGGGGAGATCAAGGAGGGCTTTGAAAGGGAAGTGCTATTTGAGTTGGTTCTGGAAAGATGGAGAGAGTGAAAAGCTGGGATGATGAGAGGAAGGGAAATATTTGCAGCAGGACCACGTGAGCATGGTAAAGAGGTAATGCCCTGGGAAAGCAAATAATAAATAGTTCACATAGCTTGGTATGAAAGGCACATACAAAAAAACAATAAGGAATGAGGTTGGACAGACAGGCGGGGCCAGCCTGAGACAGCCTTGAAAACCAGGATAAGTGGTCAAGACCTAATTCTCTATGCAACAGAGAGTCATGAAAAACCCTTAAACAGAGATGCGGCACGATTAAAACTATGTATAATTTTATAGTAGATTAAAATCAATTGGCCAGGGAAAAGGGGGTTGCTGTTATGGTCCGGAATGAACCCTACTGGTAGACAGACCAACAGACAGAGACACGTCTTTTCTGCTAATACTTATTTAAGCATCCCAGGAATCTCAGATTTTTTTTTGCCAGTTGTTAATACATGTTAGGCTGATAATTTTACAATAATTCCAGTGTGTAACTGATGGATAGTACAGAGACTGATTTTACAAGTTACAGATCATTAAGAAAAAATTTTTATTTTGCTTTTTTAACTTAGCTGCTTGACTTCAAAATGTTTCCTGAATGTTGTATATTATTAACAATGGGATCATTTATGAACTTCTTTATTATATTCTATTTTCACCCCATTCAATAAAAACTGGGAAATCGAATATAAATTTTGCATTTTGCAATGTGTTTCACAAAAAGTAAATTTATTGTCTAATACATTTTAATCAGAAGGCTTTATAGATTGTAAACAGAAAATTAGAGATTAGAAAGACCTTGGGGAGTCCATTAAATTGAATCTCCTCCATGTACAGAGGCCTAAGGAATTTATTCAGTCATGGAATTAATAACTGGTTTTGTCTGATTTAATATTCAGGCTTTTTGACTAGGTCATTAGTTGCTCTGAAATCTGTTTTAAGAGATTGTATGCAAAATCAAACTGATAATGATATTCCCACTATAAATTTTATTTCTAGAGATAAACTTGGCTATAAAGATTATAAAAACATAGTTGTATTATCTTATGAAAAATAACCTAAAACCTTATGCTATAATAATATGTTGGGGATTTTCTATACCTTGCTTCAAGTTGTCAGTTTTCAATACATTTATTAGACTTCAATGTGGACAAAATGAAATAGGATAATCTTTTTAAAGTCTGAGTTTCTTCATCTATGAAATGGAGATAATTATAGTGTTAGGTCAGAGGGTTGCCATGGGAAAAGCAAAGAAATATGAATGTAAAATAGAGTTCTTAGTTCTATGAAATCCAAATTAAATGCTTATTAAAGACTCAAGAAAGGCAAGTCACTTTTTAAAAAAAGAAGTTGAATTCATAGGAGGGTAGGGAGAAAGATCCTGTTGTTTTGTATATATCAAGTTCCTTTTCTACTTTAAGGAATCCAAGTTGGAAATTGTTGATGCTGTATTATGGGTACTGTTTATGAGAGAAAGATAAAATCAAATTCCAAGCACTATACTATGCTCAAAATACCTTGCCCTAACAAATAAATGCCATTTAAGCGTCTTAACTTCAAGATACCATATTTAAGGTATGTGCATATGTTTAATGAATCCCCATTTTAATTAATATTTTTAATTAACTATTAAAACAGTGCCAAGGGCCATCTGTGCCATGGCTTTGTGATGCTGTTTCTCCTTTTTCTTGATCTGCAGTTGTCCTTAACTAATTTTTTTAAGCTCATTGTGATCTATTAAGTTGCTTGATAACAAAATGAGATTATGAAGTTTCCTTTTTATAGAGTTCTGTTTTCTTCTAGGATGAGTTATTTGTGTTCTGAGCATTTCTTTCATTTTTAAAGGAAGTGTATATGGCTGTCACTCAGTTTCCTTTTGTCTTGTTTAGAAAAATAAACCTAGGGGTTTTCTGTGTGTGGGGGAAGGGGAAGAGCATAAACTAAACAGAATTAGATAAAGGAAGAGCAAAAAAGAGGCATCCACATCTAAATCCTCCATTTCACTTATTTCTGCTTGAATCAGCAACTATTTCCTTTACTCCTTGTTTGGAAATATTAAGTGAGCATTTTCATGACTTTGTCTACTACGACTTGTGTTTCTTTCCTTGCCCCTTTTCTTTTTTGGTTGCTATCAGTGATGTTTTTCTTTATGGTTGTTGATTTTTAAAATTACGTTTTGTGCCTTATTTTAGGTATTGAGACAGGAAAATTCTGTGAAGCGTTCTACCACACAAGCTTGGTCCTAGTGTTTCAGATCCAAAGTCCTGTAAAGGATCTGAAACATGTTCAGGAATCTAGAGGAAGGTGGGTGGAATGGACACATTATAAATTTTAGATTTCATCTTAAGAGAAATAGGAAACCATTAAAGGTTTTTAGAAAGCAGGTTGCTGAAATGATCAGATTCCTCTATTTTAAAGATCACTTCAGCAGCTGTGTGGAGGAGAAAGAATTGGAATGGGGCATGCGTAGATGCTGGGAAATGAGTTAGGACGCTATTGCAGCGATCCAAGTGAGATGATGGTGGCTTCTAGCCCAGCATTCTAACTGACATCCATAATGATGACCCTGAGTTATTATAAAAAGGCTTAATTGTATTGCATATATCCTGTTTAAGATTGCAGGAAACTGTGATAGGTTTTAATAAGATTTCTCTAGAGATTTATATGGTAGGGAAAAATTAGGCTCAGCCATTTGGAAAGTAAGTACCCAGTTTCTCAGTGTCCAAAGGGGTCTACCTCTGAAAACATTATTTTCTATTAAAATTGAGTGGTTAGCCTAACGTTTTCATTTATACGTGGAACAAGCAGAAAGTAAAGAATATACTATTAGCATAAAATTATCTTAAACACTGACCCTAAAAATACAGAGGAAAACAGATTTCAAGCAGGCCAGCTTTTGAAATCTACTAAATGAATCTCTCTCAAACATTTGGTTGGAATCAGCACATTCTGCACACAATGACCTTCACACAAACTTGGGTCTCATATTTCTGCCACTGCAAATGTAGATTTTGAAGGAATGAAAGCAATATTGTTTTACCTATGGGATATTTGGGTTTTAATCAAGAGGTTTTGCAATGACAGCTTATAATGAGGCAGCTGGTATTACCAAAAAAGCCATATGGAACTATCATAGTGCTGCTGCAAATGGTATCAATTAACTGGTTCATTTTCAAAACTTTCATTTAAGTGAGTTTGATCACAGAGGCTTCGGGAAAATAAACATAAAGTTTTATTTGGGGGAGAGGTTAGGATGGCAGAAACCTGACAATTAAAACAGATTCCATTTTTAAATTAAATTAGAAAAAATCATAAATGAAGGAGGATATTCACATCTAAAAATCCATAGAGAGCTAGTGAATATAAATAGCCTTTTTATTTTGTTGATTTATACATGGTTTAAGTTAGACTATTTCTATATGTGAGGGGATTTAGATATACAACTTTCCAATATCTTCATTATTCGAAGACAAGTTTTAAAAATTGGCAATAGTAGCAATACACGTGGGAATAATCAATAGGAGAGCTAATACAGAAGCAGATTTGAGAACTAAAAGAAAAACCACACCTTACTTTTTGGTGATTATGCCACAAACTCAGTGTTTAAATCTAATTTTCCTATTTTATTCTTATAAAAAGGAAAGAGATTGGATAACAGACCTTATTTGTGAAAGTTCTGAGGCCTCTTAATTAAGAGGGTCCCAAATGACTAAAAGAACACATATGAAATTACAACTCCCAAGCTGACCAAGCAAATTAAGGAATGCAGTCTTCGAGAGAGTGAGTCATTCAAACCTGGTGTTGAGAATAGCAAACATGGCTTATCTGGCGAGATTCCTATTGTGCTAAAAATAATGAGGTTTTTTGTTGCTTACTATTTTCTTGATGTTTACTCCTTGAAATTTTGTTTAAAAAAAGTTCTTAAATAACAGTTTCAAAAGTTAGGTGTAGAAGAAAGAGGACAAGAACCCACAACAGACTGGGGTTCTAGCTGTAGATCTTCTATTGACCAATTACAGCATGTAAGGCAAGTTAGGCATCTGCTGTTTTTGGTATGGTTGGATCAGAAGATCTGTAAAGTCCCTCCATGTTTACCATGCTATGAAGATAAACAGGAAAATGCCAATTACCTCTACTGTCATTATAACAAATTTAGTTCCAAATACCATAGGGCAGCACAGTCATCGTTAGGTACACAAGCTTTAGGTGAGTTAGACAGCTGGAATTTAAATCTAAGTTCCATTTGCTATAAGTAATATGACCCTACACAGGTTGTTTAACAAATTTTATTCACAGACAGGGATATATACGTATAGTATCTTGCTGTAGTGTCAATCAAAAGAGCTAATTAATGCATTCAAAAATTTTAGTGCTGTGCCTGGTACACATTAAGGCAGGGGTTCCTGACCCCCTTGGCCACAGACTAGTACCAGTCCGAGGCCTGTTAGGAATTGGGCCACACAGCAGAAGATGGTGCAGTTGGTGAGTGGAGCTTCATCTCTATTTACAGCCACTCCCCATCATTTGCATCACTGCCTAAGCGCCACCTCCTATCAAATCAGCAGGTCTCATATTTCATATTTCTTAGATTGCCATGGCGGTGCAAACCCTATTGTGAACCACGTATGCAAGGGATCTAGGTTGTGTGCTTATCATGATAATCTCATGCGGCCTCCCACCAGCCCCTGTCAGTCCACGGAAAAATTTTCTTCCCTGAAACTGGTACATGGTGCCAAAAAGGTTGGGGATCACTGCATTAAGGGTTCTGTAGATATTGGCTGGTATTACTTTTATTATTTTAATTATTATTGCTAATATAATAGGTTTTTCCTATGAGATATATTTTATCAAGTAAGAAATTCTAAAATTATATAACCATAACAGAAAAACTACTTTGTAACAACTAAACAGAAAACTTAAAAATAATTGTAAAACTTCAGCATGGCAGCTGATGATGATTTCAAGAAATGCAGCTTCTTTTTCGGGGAGGGTCATGGATCTGTAATAAACACTACGGACCCCAGGAAAATGCACATATGTACTTAGAGACAAAATGTTTCAAGAAGTACAAACATCTCCAAAGTCCATTCTTGGATGTCTTTCTGAGGTTAGAAATCCAGGCTCAAGATCAGTGGATGCAAACTTAGGGGCCAGAGAGGGCAGAACTGGACTTGTAGATATGTGTTGTGGGCCTGCAGAGGGCATCACAATTTGTCAATGTGAATGCCTCTAACAGGCATAACATCTTCAGTGTTTGTCAATGTGAATGCCTCTAATAGGGCATAACGTCTTCTGTGCACCATAATTCTACCATACTCTCTGATATTAATCTCAGGCAGCTTCACTTACTGGGGTTATTTGCCCCATCTCTGTAGGCCTCTGAGTTTGTGACACTGGCTTTACACACTTCAAAATCTATTCTGTGCCAGACTGGGTCATTCCACACTTACTCCAATAACCAAGCAGGTTTTTTTGTACTAAGGAAACTGCCAAGATAAAAACCAAACACATTTCCCTGACTCCTTTATAGTTAGGGGTCCACATGCAATCTAGGTTTTGCCATGCAGATAAATATGAGACTTGGGAAGTAGATCACAGTAACATCAGGTGGCAGGCTGGGTGCAGTGGCTCACAGCTGTAAGCCTAGCACTTTGGGAGGCTGAGGGGGGTGGATCACAAGGTCAGGAGATTGTGACCATCCTGGCTAACATTGTGAAACCCCGTCTCTACTAAAAACACAAAAAATTAGCTGGGCATGGTGGTATGTGCCTGTAATCCCAGCTACTTGGGAGGCTGAGGCAGGAGAATTGCTTAGACCCAGAGGCGGAGGTTGCAGTGAGCCGAGATTGCACCACGACACTCCAGCCTGGGCAACAGAGCAAGACTCCATCTTTAAATGAATGAATGATCAGATTTTCTGCACGGAAGATCACAAAAGCCTTTGGTTCTTCTAGGCACCTATGGCAGAGGTTCCAGATCTAGTCTAGAGGTTGGCAAATCTAGGGCCATGGGTCAAACTGGGTCTACTACCTAATTTTATAAATAAAGTTCTAGTGGATCAACAGTCATGCCCGTTCATTTGCATGTTTCTATGGCTGCTTTTGCACTACAACAGTAAGGCTGAGTAGCTGTGACACAGACCATATGGACTGTGAAGCCTAAAATTTTTACACTCTGCTCTTTACAGAAAACCTTTATTGACCCTTGGTCTCATCCTCAGATAGGGAGTGGTGGGTGACAGCTGCAGTCAAGATTTTCTCATGATGTAGTTTCTCCTAGTTACAAAATATTCCTGGTTTTGCAGCATCCAAGCTTAGTTGTCTGGTCCTTCGATAAATGCTATAAGTTACCTAACACCATGCAATCCCCCTTTCTGCTGAAAATAGAGTGGTTTCCATTGCTGCAACTAAAAACCCTGAATGTGACACTGTGACAAAAGACAAAGAATTAGGATATAACGTAAAAAAAATACATATATACTTACATTATGTATCATCTCAAAGTATTTCTGACAGGCTACTTGGTAATGTGTTCCCTTTACTAAATCCAAAATCTAAAATGAATGAGGAAAAAGAGAAATGAAAATTAGAAATTAAATTTTTTTCTAAACCACTGTAGCTCACAGTTGTGGGCCTTTTCATAATCTTCATTCCAGACAGGAAATGCAATAAATCATGTAGCATGTTATAGTTCTGCAGCCTGGACACAGTGATAATTCTGACATTACACAGTAGTGGTTTAGGTCAGCATTAAACCACAGATGACAAGAGATAGTCAGTGATCTTTCTGACCTACCAACTGTGCATTTTAATAACTTTACCTCACCAACAAGATGAAAACAGATCTTGGTACGATGACTTTGACAGTTATTGTCAGAATATCATATTCCAACATCTCTCCCAAAACTGTAGATAGAAATCTAGTAATCTAATGGTTGGTGCATGAAGCAATCAAGTATACTACTTAATTTTATTTTCCACATTAATAGTTTATACAGATATAGCAGAAAATACTGCTGTGCGCCCATCAGGAAAATTTAATGTAAACCCTTTCGGACAAGTATCTGTGAAGAGGGAACGCTTTTACCTTCAGTGAGATTTGTCCTTTTTGAAATGAAGTTATTTCTAGTAAAGCTCAGCAGAATATGAGAGTGAATAGTCTATTCTGAACACCTATTAGGAACATCATCCTATCTTTTGTAAATACAATTTGCTTTCCAATTCTGCTTCATGTAATCTCTTCAGAGCGGTGCAAACTCCCATCCTTATCAGCAGAGTGCAGTGTCAGTTGAAATTTGTAAAGTTTCATTGCCTCCCACAAGCCCCCAAATAAATAAAACATATATTTGGCCTATTTATCAAATACAGTAAAATGCTGGAATTAAGAGATAACCTAAAATGAAGGGAAACTTAATAATTCTGGAGAAATGTTAATTTCCATTTCTTTGTGTGTGTGTGTGTGTGTCTGTGTGTGTGTGTGTGTTTTAAAAAGCTGACCTTCCTGTCACAAAAAGAAAGCAACATGGGGTCTCAAATTCCTACTATCCTCATTATTGAATATAGCTTTACATCATCTGACAGATACACAAAAAAATTACAGTTACAGAACAGGCATTATGGAATACTGACAAGAATGTGCTTCAAAAATTGTTTTTCTCTGTCCTATAGATTACATTTCTGAATTTTGTATCACCTTTTATTAAATCATATATGAAAGACCTGTGTAACTTGCAGCCAACTACAGAGCCCGGGATTCTACAGGTCCGCCTATCTGGCCTGTCTACTTTTCTTGAATTATTGGAGCAAAAATGAAAATTTAATCAATTGAAAATGAGACTTCATTTTTAAGTTTATTCTGAAAGTTTTCCAAGTAATGCTAACACTCTGAGTCCATACTGTCTGATGTTCTTACACACCGGTTTTCAAATTGTGATGAGATAAACTTGCTAATAATTATTAACAAACATCTATAATAATATATTAATATCTGAATTAGAGTTCTGGAAAAGTGAAGACTTCAAACATAAATTTAAGCTTTAGATAATGCCATAAATTACCTGAGATGGAAATGAATTCACAGAAATAAAAAAGCCAAACCATGTAAAAAGTAAATATGTAAATATTGTATGTATGTGTGTGTGTGTGTGTGTATATATATATATATGTTTGGAAAACATGCTATGAAGAAATACTTATAAATCATCATACTAAAAAATGTAGCTGGGTAATCCACATGTGTAAAAAACTTACTAAAGAAAACTGAAATAAAAGCCACAGGATGTGAGAAAAACAGATTGCAAATTTTAGGTTCCATATAAAAATTAAGTTTAGATTAATCACACTACAGTCTTCCCCTGACCTGACCCCAACACAGAGAAGGATCTTCCTTAACAAAAATAATTTACTTTTATTTTTGTTTTATCTTACTAGGATGAATTTTTATTTGAAATCTGCTTGCAAATCTATAAACAAACCATTCAACCATGATCAGAATAGCTAAAACGATTTTAAACATGTCCCAGCATATTTGAGATAAACAACGGTTTCTGTAAATATGTAAAGATGTGATGAGAAAAAAAGGCAATAGAGGTTTTTGAGGTAAGCAGGTACCACTGGTAGATACTTTTATCTTCATTTCAGAAATGAGGAAACATTTAAATTGGGGTATCTGTTTCCTGAGGGTGAGGGCCATTAAATGCAGAAAGAATTTTTAAAATCACATACAAATCAATAATTTTTCTTTTAAAGGAAGACAACTTACGTGCTTTTAAAATTAAGATAGAAAACATGAAACATTACTCAAAAAATCCAACTAAGGAATACACAGTTTCATTTCAGATTATGATCTATATCACAGAGATACAGGAAAAGAAAATGTGGGCCAATGAATGAAGTTTGACTTTTTCTCGGAGTAAAATGGAGAGCTACTCCGGTATTCGATGTGCAGGACTAAAGTGAATTGACATTTACAGAGGGTTCATTTCTGCCTGCTATGCTGGGAACAGACTGGAAAGGACAGAGGTAGAAACAGGGAGCTTACAGGGAGCTTATTCCAGGAATTCAGCGAATAGATGGTAGATCCATGGACCAGGGTAGTGTTATCAGTAGTGGTGGTAAGTGGTCAGATTTGGAGACAGAAGGATTTCCTACTTAATGGCCATAAAGTATTTCTAAAATCAGGTGCTCTGCATGAAAATACTCAAGAGGAACCTGTCCTCCAATGTCTTAAAATAATGCATGACATGCCACTCAACCCTTTGCCCTGCCAGTTGATTTCCTAAATAACTAGTTCTAAAACTCAGGAAAATGCCAATATATGAAAACAAACCTTTCATATTAAAAAAATGGAAAATACCAAAAATATCACTTAGTAGCCACTAAACAGTATGATTAACATATTTTTGTGTGTGTAGAAAAAGCAGTATGATACCTCATGTCTCAGCGTTAGCAACATCTTAGATGCACACTTTGCTGACATCAAAATGTTCCCAAGTGATTCTGATGTTCTAGCATTTGTATACAGTGTGCAACTTGAGACTTTTTCTGCACTTTGTTTTGTTAAATTTTTCCAATATGAACATCACTGCTAAGCACCGTATTAAAATATTCTACAGGTAACTCTATTTTGATGTTGATACTAATACAACTTGCTGATGATTTGGATGACACCAAGGGAAGAAATACAAGCTAAAAATCAGGTGAAGAAAATGAAGAATTAAGAACTAAGGTATGACCAAGAAGACACTAAAAATCACTTTATGATATAGGATCAAAATTACCTGGCAAACACCAAAATCTAAGAACAGATGCCTAAGGTGGACTGTGTGAAACAGAATTGAGGATCAAATTTCCACAAGACACCTATACCCCATGGAATGCTATGCAACCTTTAAAAAGAACAAAACTGTGTCCTCAGCCTCCCAAGTAGCTGACATTACAGACACATGCCACCACACCCAGCTAATTTTTTTTTTTAGTAGAGATGGGGTTTCACAACCATGTTGCCATAAAGGAAATGATTTTGTTCTTTTTTATGGCTACATAGTATTCTATGGTGTATATGTATCTTACGGAAATTTGACCCTAAATTCTGTTTCACACAGTCCACTTTAGGCATCTGTTCTTGGATTTTGGTGCTTGCCAGGTTTGTAATTTTGATCCTATATCGAAACTGAATTTTAGTGTCTTATTCATAACTTAATTATTAATTCCTCATTTCATTTATGTGGTTTGTAAGCATCAAAATGTAACCCACAGCTCACAAAAGACATCCACTGAACATTGACACTAACTCTCCAGTGTTCATGCTCCATTCTGAAAGAACCAGAGCACCTTATAAGGTGCTCTTGCATATAGCATTAATACCAAAAGAACAGTTTTCCAAAGGTCAGAGGAAACGAAATCAGGGGTCTATTCTGATGCTGGGGCCAGAAGTTTCCTAATTCTGTTTTAGAAAAATAGCAGACATTTTAAACAGTCTTATCAAATAAAGACATTTAAAAACACAGAATTTTTATTTTAAGAAAAAACTCCTATAAAGATCTAAGATTATTATGCAAATGGCAGTATGACTTCGCTTTTAATGCTAATATTTCCAGATAAAGTACCAAATGTCAAGTGTAACAATCCATTTACTGTTCTCATCTAGTTCATCAGTAATCAAAAGGCTAAGAAAAAGTGAATAGTGGCCAAGTACAGTGGCTCACGCCTGTAATCCCAGCACTTTGCGAGGCCAAGGCACGCAGATCACGAGGTCAGGAGTTCAAGATCAGCCTGACCAACATGGTGAAATCATGTCTCTACTAAAAATACAAAAATTAGCTGGGCATAATGGCACATATCTGCAATCGCAGCTACTCGGGAGGCTGAGGCAGGAGAATCGCGTGAACCCGGGAGGTGGAAGTTACAGAGAGCTGTGATTGCACCATTGCACTCCAGCCTGGGCAACAGGGCAAGACTCCGTCTCAGAAAAAAAAAAAAAAAAAAGAAAAGAAAAAGAAAAAGTGAATAGCAGTGACCGCAGACTACAATATTTTGGTAATTTGTATTTTTAAACTTCTTTTTGTTTTTGAGACAGCGTCTCACTCTGTCACCCATGCTGGAGGGCACAATCTTGGCTCATCACAACCTCCATCTCCCAGGTCCAAGTGATTCTCCTGCCTCAGCTCTCAAGTAGCTGGAATTTCAGGTGTGCACCATAACACCCAGCTAATACTTGTATTTTTAGTAGAGATGGGGTTTTGCCATGTTGGCCAGGCTGGTCTCAAACTCTTGGCCTCAAGCAATTTGCAAGCTCGGCCCCCAAAAGTGCCGGGATTACAGGTGTGAGCTACCATGCCTGGCCTCTCTTTATTTTTAACTATTCTCTATCAGTTCAATAAAGTGCACCAGTAAAAATATTAGAGTTTTTAAAAATAGGCTGGATGTGGTGGCTCACACCTATAATCCCAGCACTTTGGGAGGTCAGGGCAGGCAAAACGCTTAAGTCCAGGAGTTCAAGACCAGCCTAGGCAACATGGCAAAACCCTGTCTCTAATAAAAATACAAAAAATTA